AAGCATTTTTGAATAGTAGTTTTTTTTACTATTATTGTTATTTCAGCTATTAACTGTCCACTGCTAAACATAAGCCTTTCCCAGAAGTGGAGTTTTGCCAGTAGTTGCCACGCTTGGCAGGCGGGTTGGCAACCGCAGATTATTTTATTTTTATTTACTTATTTAACTTGTGATACAAAGGTAACAATGGATGGTAAAACAAGATAAGTTCTCTATGATCAACCCCATATATCGAGGTATACAAATTTGCAATTACATAAGAAAAAACAAATTATGTAAAAAAAAAATCAACAATGTCACATTTATAGTAAAAAATTATAATATTATGGAAATTTATTACATTTATCTTCAAGGAAATCGTAGTAAAAGCAATCGCAGATAGGTTTTCATGTTTTAAGAGGGACGCTTCTGTCTTCTGTTGTCATTAATTAGGTCGAGGGATAGACAGAAGCGTCCTTAGTTGTCTCTTACGACACCCATAACTGTACCATGATCATCGGACTTGTTGATGTTTAATAGTAGTACAAAAATGATTAATTGATTAAATATTTCAAATCGTTATCGATTTCTGTGATTATTCATTAATAATATATAATAATAATTATATATATATATATATATATATATATATATATATATATATATATATATATATATATATATATATATATATAATGAAATGTAATCAAATCAAACCTTTTCAACCGACTTAAAAAGAAGAAGTTGAGAAAGAACCTTAAACGTTTGTTTAAGATTGAAAACCTTAAGAAAAAGTTTTCAATGTTTGTTTTTTTTTATACTATATTGTACACATTGATAATACATCATATCATAATATAGAAGTAAGTAAATATACAAAGGCGAGCTGAACTCTAAAAGAGTTCTCTTCCAGCAACACCAAAGTGGAAAGGAGGAAATCACATAAATTACCAGAGGGAGACTTTGTACAAAAGTCGTTTGCTTGGGTACCTCTGTACCATTCGTGTTTCAACCGTGAAGCAGTTGTGTTTGCATGTCTGTGTTTGGGTTTGAAGGGCGAGATATGGCGTGAATTTACAGAGTACAGAGAAATAACACCCGAGTCCTCAGGAATGGCAACGCATGCGGGGTGTCATGGGCGAAACAGTATACTCTGTTATGTGCATGGTACTGCTCATGTCTATAGGCGACGGTTACCATTTTCCATCAGGTGGGTAGTCAGCTTGTTTGCCATTCTAAGTTGTATAAAAAAAAAATTGCTTTCTTTTTAATAATATTATTTTCCGATATCCCAGATTAAACTATTAAAATTACCAGTGATTAAACTATTTAAATTACCACTGATTAAACTATTTAAATGTGGAAGAAGCGAAAGAGGTTTGTTTGAATCGAAGCATTTGGCGTTCCACTGTTTCTGCCTACCCTAATGGGAGACATGCGTGACAGATATGTATGTATGTATGTAATTACCACTATTTAGTGTACCTTTTATGAAGACAAAATATGCTGAACACACATTTGTTTTTTCGCGTTTATACCAATCACAATAAATTATTCTCCGATACTGATAAACATATTTAGTAATTCGATTGCAATGTGTGGAAAGCTGATTGGATGATACCGTGAAGAATTCCATGTGATAATATTCACATCTTAGTACTTTTTTTCTATTGCTGTATATCTAAAATTGGCTCCTTTGTATGTAATAGTTAATCTTCAATGGATTCTATTTATTATGTTATATACTAAAACTAAGCGCGAGAGATGAGCAGCGTCCCTCTTAAAACATCTCTAAAGCTTAACTGTGGTTGCCAATCCGCCTGCTAAGCGTGGCAACTATTGGCAAAACTCCTCAAGGGTGAGACTTATTATGCAGTGGACAGTTAAAAGCTGATGTGTTGATGATGATGATGATTTTTTCTGTTAATTGTAATGTTTTTTTTTTTCAAATAAAATTAAATATATGGTTCTTCAAAAAGGGTTATTTTTTTATTTTATTAAAGTTACCAACAGTAATACAATATATAATTATAATAAAATTACATTTAAATGTGATTAATAGTACTACCAACAACGTTCACTACAGATTGCTATATAAAGAAAGAAAGTATATAAATATGCAAATATTGCCTAGATGTGGAGCCGACCATTATATCTATTAATTAAGTTAAATTATAAATAACATTGACACAACCACGTCACCGGTACAAATTATACAAAACAAACAAACAAAAAAAAAAGATATTTAAAAAGTTATATTAAGTTTTTTTTCAGGGTCGGCAACGCGCACGTGACACACCTAGTGTTGCAGGCGTCCATAGGCTACAGTGACCGTTTACCATCAGACGGGTTGTATGCTTGTTTGACACCTTTGTGGTATAAAAAGAAAAACAAATAAATAAATAAAATGCATACAAATTTTTTTAATTTATTTTTTATTTCTTCAAAAGAAATTTAAAATTCAGACAAATTCCAAATTCAAAGTTCAAAACAGGAAACCCGAAAGTTTATTTATTGAAAGTTACGTTGCGACATATCCGGAGAAATTGGGATAGAATGTAACCCTACTTACGTGGGTTGACTTCACCGCAATGTTACTTGGACAAGGGTTGAATTTTAAACTTCTAATCTGTTACTTAAGGTAACAGTCCAATTATATTCTCGCTTTAAAGTTAATGACTATGTAGTAATACATTTATTTACTTATTCTTTATTGCACAATAAAACTTTGTACAAGTGGCGAGCTTAATGCCATATGGCATTCTCTACCAGCTAACCGTTGGGTAAAAACAGGAAGCGTATGATGACGACAGATGTGTGTGAAAAATATAAAAAATATACATACTACTTATAATATATATGACTAATATATATATATATATATATATATATATATATATATATATATATATATATATATATATATATATATATATATATATATATACATTGAAGCACTTTTGTACACACACATAAACATTGGGAGATATTTTTTTTTATACGACATAGAATGGCAAACAAGCTGACGGCCCACCTGACGGAAAGTGGTAACCGCCGCCTATACACATGAGCAGTACCATGAACATAACAGAGTATACTGTTTCGCCCATGATACCCCCCATGCGTTGCCATTCCTGAGGACTCAGGCGTTATTCCTCTGTACCCTGTAAATTCACTGCCATATCCCACCCTTCAAACCGAAACACAGCCATGCAAACACAACTTACGTTTGAAATTCGAATGGGACAGAGGTACCCAAGCAAACGACTTTTGTACAAAGTCTTCCTCTGGTAATTCTTACTACTCTTTATGAAATTGAACCGAAATATGAAACTAAAAAAAAATCATTTAAAATTAATGACTGGAACTCAACATAACTCAACTTAACAAGTAAATAGTACCTATATATAATACCTATGAAATGAAATGAGTTTATTTTGAATGAATGAATGAATGAATTTTCTACTGTGATAATTACAGGTTGATAGCGTTTTTAATATTGTACGCCCGTAACGTACAATATTAAAACTTATAAAAAAAAACTAGCGTCCCGGTACGTGCTTCGCTACGTATAAAATGAAATAATAAAAAAAAAATATTTTAACATCAATATCTCTGACAATTTGCTTTAATCGAAACACGTCCAAAATGAAATGACCGCATGAATGACATAACAACACGCTTGTACTGTCAACATTGAAAAAAGTTTCAATTTAACAGCACAATCCCTATCTTAGGGGGGAAGGGATTGTTAGTAATTGGGAGGTTAGTTCCCATTGCTATCAATATATTCTATCAGGTCGACCTCCACGCGGTTTCCCCTGGAAACCATCGTGTCTAATTTATCGTTGAATTCGTCACGATGGGCGTAACTGACCTACCTTTTCATCATCATCAGTCATTCCTCACTGGTGCCCCGCCAGCGTATACCGATAGCGTAGGCGGGGTCATTTCATTATCATCCATTAAAAAAAATCCCCATCTTAAAAAACGTTTGAATTTGACACAAAAATCCCCATTTACAAAATGATCCGCCATTTATTGAATTCATTTGTTACAAAAAATGTGATAAATGAATATGAACCGCTCGACCGATTTTGTGCAAACTTCACATAAACCATCTACTAAATAGTACGAACAAAGCCTAAACATTTGGTTCGGATAGGTGAGACCGTTCTTGAGTTATAAAAATACAACGAAAAGTGACATTAATTTTTATATATAGATTGCATTAAACAGTCCAATAATAATTTTAAGCCACGTGGTACTATTTTGACATAAGCTTAAATGCTTTAAGCAATGTAGGCATACAAATATTTACATTATATATAAAAAAAAGCGAAAAATATAATTATGGTTCAATTGTCATTTAAATAACCATTACATATTAAAACGGTGGATACAGACAACAATAGTGATAACGTGGGGATGTCCGAATTGACTGCGCGGGCTGCCAGAAGACGCCGTTCACTTCAGCCCTATCGTAACCAAGACGTGGTACAATCCACGTCGAAATGCCGGCAATAAAAAACAGATATGTAAGTATCTATAATCGCGTCTCGTTAAGATCTAATCGTTAATTTAATATAAGTGTAAATAACGGAAAATTTTATAATTAACTATTGCAAAAAACTACATTAATCATATTTACATATCTTTATGCCAAATAGATAGATAGATAATTTATTTGCATTACTTACAGCACGCAAATTATAACATATATGTACATAAAAACGAAATAACATAAATGATAAAAAAAAAATACATAAAGCCAAGCATAATTTTCTTTTGTGCGTGTGCCATAACAATACCTTGTGAAGTAAGCAGAGGGAACTGAGTGCTATAGGTCTAGAATCCTTTCCTCTGTTTACGTACTTCTCTTGCTACATACACTTTCACCATTCATCATCAGTGAATCAGAAGGGCTGTATGTTTGTTTAATACCTTCATAGTAAAAAAAGAAGCCCCTATATTCGTCAATAATAGAAATTATGAGAAATAAATAAAACCAAATACATTACCGGCGACGTCTGACAGGGTAGCGTTCGGAGCACATTTCACGAAGTCGGGAAAGAAGTTCACCATGATGATGCCGCCATTTTCTTTCTGTTGAACAGAAATAAAATTTTAATAAATGTAATTTACTATATATGTACAGTATTGCAGTGTGGTCCCGACATAGTCCACCCTCTTCTTTACTGTAATTGTCGTAAGAGGCGACTGAGGGAATTTAATGTCAAGGTATTAAAACATTTTCAAAGTCTAACTGTGGTTGCCAATCCATCTGCTAAGCATGGTAACTACTGGAAACACCTCTTTATGAGGAAGGCCTATGTTTTTTTAATGAACGATAATGTAATGCTATCGGTATACACTGGCGGGGTACCAGTGAGGGCTGATAGGCGATGATGAAACGACAGGTCAGTTAGCCCATTGTAATGAATACACCTGGAATGCAACACGATAGTTTCTAGGGGGAGCCACGTGGAGGTCGTCCTGACAGGGTATATTGGTAGCAATGGGACTGGTAGTCCGCATTATTAATAATCCCTTCCCCCCTGGTGGCCTATGTTTATTCAGTGGATAGTCAACGGGTAACATGATGATATATATATATATATATATATATATATATATATATATATATATATATATATATATATATATATATATATATATATATATACATACATTGACCGGGATAAAAAGTAGGCCGTATTCTTCTCCATCGCTTCTAGTACGTGTGTACCACATTTCATAGTGAATGGTTAAGCCGTTAAGCCGCTATAAGGTAACAAACAAACTCACTTTCACATTTATAATATTCCTAAGGATTTTGTGGTAGTACTGTTAAGTGAATATTTATATTCACGACTCGTGTCTCCACTTAAAGTTTAAATTTTCAAAAAATCTCTCTTAGCAGATGTTCACGTTATAATGCAAAGTTTAGTTCTAAATTTCAGCTTTCTAGACTAGGAAAGCTAAAATTTACTTACTTTTTAGACTTATCAGAGGGAGACTTTGTACAAAGGTCGTTTACTTGGGCACCTCTGCCCCATTCGTGTTTATACCGCAAAGCAGTTGTGTTTGCATGGCTGTGTTTCGGTTTGAAGGGTGGGATATGGCGTGAATTTACAGGGTACAGAGGAATAACACCTGAGTCCTCAGGAATGGCAACGAATGGGGAGTATCATGGACGAAACAGTATACTCTGTTATGTCCATGGTACAGCTCACGTCAGCTTGGTTGCCATTTTAAGTTGCATAAAAAAAAAAACTGAGAATTTTTTTTATCATGAATACCTAACTCAGAAGCTGAGTCTTAAACTAAACAGTTAATTGACTTTCAGTTTCTATAAATCTGTACAACTCAACAAACAATGAAATCTGTACAATTAGTCTCTAGCAATAGGACAGGGGTGTTGCAGATTCAATTTAATATTTAAGAATGAACTCTTTTTATTATTGCACGTACTGGCCACTTATATTTTTTTATTATTAAAAATATAATGCATTCTGTTGATTCTATTCAAATTTAGTAAAAATGGATGTTGAAAACGTAATATGTATTTTTATTGTTCTCGTCGTCCTTATAAATATATAATAGTTTAGCCGCATTTGCATCGCAGTTATCACAGTTTTCAACAATTATACCCTCAGGATGGATGCTAAGAAACGGTGTCGACGGGCGGCAGCAAAGTTATAAGATCTCTAATATTTTAGAAAATTTGTTAGATAAAGATGAACTAAATATATCGGAGATCGAATGAATTATTTAGTACTTCAAAGTTATAAATATATATTAGAATATTGATAGAGATATAGAAATGTTGTTATCTGAAAAATATTATTACGAAAGTGGTCTAGAAAAAGAATATGAAGAAGTAATAGCTTACAATAAGAAATGGCTGACAATGAAAACAAGAGTCGAGAATGTTCTGTCTAAAACAAAAGAAGAAAGCGTTGGTTTTTCAGGATCTGAAACAGCAAAGAATTACAAATTACCAGTCCTGGAGTTAAGGAAGTTTGACGGATGTGTACGTAGTTGGTTACCCTTCTGGGGCCAGTTCCAGAAAATAGATGAGGATAAACAGATGAATGATGCGGATAAATTTCAATACTTAGTCCAATCTATGATGCCGGGAACAGAAGTACGATCTTTTGTTGAAAGTTTTCCTCCAAATAAATCCAGCTACACACAATGCCTTTCTGATTTGAAGCGTAGATATGCACGTGAGGAATTATTGATTCAAGTTTATGTGAGAGAGCTACTTACATTAATAATAAATAAAGACAAAAATATGAATTTATCAATCCTTTATGATCAACTCAACTCCCAGTTGCGCGCCTTAGAGACTTTGGGTGTAACACAAGATAAATATGCCGCATTTATTCTTCCAATGGTAGAATCGTCTTTACCATTAGACGTTTTGAAGGCATGGGAAAGAATTAAGCCAATTGTTACAAGATGAATTGGGAAGTTTACTACTGTTCATAAAACGAGAAGTCGAAAGCGAGCAACGAATTAAAATAGCGAAAAACTTTGGTAACACATCAGAGCAAACGGTTGCAACTGAATCGACAGCATCAACGTTAACAGTGAGCGGATAGTTGGAAACCTGCATGCATATGGTGCGACAAAGGTCATGCTAGTGCAGAATGTTATAAATTGTCGAAGATGTCGTTAGAACAAACAAAGAGCATCTTAAGAAGAAAAAAGCTTGTCTAATATAAAAACAGGGCACTACGCCAAAATATGTAAAGCTTTTATTCAGTGCATAGCTGAAAAGAGACTGTCCACGAATACCAAATTTAATGCCCTATGGTAAGTTTCTTGAATATTATAAAGTAAGTTGTCGAAAAGAAAAGGGCATAATAGACAAAGTACGGAAGATAAATTAGACAGATGGTTCATTATTTACCGCATAGAGGAGTAGTTAAAGATGCAAGTTTAATTCACAAAATTAAGACCAGTGTTCGACGTATTTTTGCTTATGATAAAAATGGTCGATCACTGAGTTCATACTTGAATAAGGGGTTAAACTTTTTAGATAAATTACGTCATTTATTAATGGGCTTTCGAAAGAGTGCTGTAGGAATATCAGCCGATATCGCCAAAGCCTTCCTGCAAATATCAGTTAAACGTGCAGACAGAAATCTGTTAAGAATTTGTGGTGGAGAGATGAATTACAAAAAGAGAAGGAAAAAGAAACTAATTTAAAAATTGATAATATTGTATTGATAGAAACTGAGGAGAGACAAGTAAAGTGGCCACTAGGAAATATATACTGAGAAAGATAAAGTGGATCGATCTGTAAAACAGCGTTATTTAAAATTCGACCATATCAAAGACTTTATCCACTAGAAGTTTTAGCGTAATCTTCTATATTTCTGATACATATTTAACTTGTAACACATTAGTATTTATTTTCAACATATTTTTAGGTAGATGTAGAGGATGTTGCAGATTCAATTTAATATGTAAGAATGAACTCTTTTTATTATTGCACGTACTGGCCACTTATACTTTTTTATTATTAAAAATATAATGCATTCTGTCGATTCTATTAAAATTTAGTAAAATGGATGTTGAAAACGTAATATGTATTTTATTTATCTCGTCGTCCTTATAAATATATAATAGTTTAGCCGCATTATTATATATTATCACATATATATAACAAGGGGTATGATGGGCGACATAATTATATATATATCGCCCATCATTCATGTTGTTGTCGCACATTATATATATTCTTTATTGCACTTATATAAAACATACAGTAACAACAATAAGTTAATAACAATGTTAGCAAAGCGAACTTATCTCTAAAAGAGATTTCTTCCAGTCAACCTAACGCAGTGGCATTAGGAATATTGAGTGGGCAGTAGTAGTGCAAGACAGAAATTTAAATAAATATTTACATAAATTATAAATAATTATATATATACACACATGCATTCACATATATACATACATACACATACACATATATATACATATACACATACACATACATATACACACATACATACACACGTTAAATACAACATATAAATATCAAATACAAGAGAACACAATGATGACAGTCTTCTAATCATTTTTATATTTAAATTAAATTGGAAAGATAAAATGATTTTAATCTTTTTTTGAAGGAACTGCTAGACGGGCTATTCTGAATATTCACGGGAAGTTTATTCCACAGCTATACAGCACGATATGCAAATGAGTTACCCATAAAATGGGTTTTACAGCAGGGAAGCTTCAGTACCCTGGACTGGTTCAGACAAAGACGTCTAGGTCTGGAAGGAGGAGGTAATAATTGGAACCGGGAACGAAGGTAGGAAGGATGTTATGTCTATGGTAATTATAGGATGTATTCAATGTGTTCTGTTTAAATTTTTTTATGTTTTGTTTTATGTCACATAGCAAATTACAAAAAATAAATGTAATATAAATATAAAAGAAATTCGTGTCCAGTCCATAGGCGAGGTTGACGGGCCATCAGCCTGTTCGCCACTTTAAGTTGCATTAATAAACTCAATTGGACGTTAATTATTAAAAAGTATTATTAACATTAAAATATGAATGTATAAATATGTTTTAATTACTCGAAATATGATATACATACACTGATATTAATGAATATTCCATATTAATGAATATTCCGGCTTATTTAATGGAATGCAAAATCATATTTTAATATATATTGGAATATGGTGCTCAGTATTTATTATAATAATAGTACGTTTGCAAAAATTCGAAACTTCGGACTTGAACCCGCAACTTATGAGTCGGGGCAAGTCTCTTACAAATTGAACAGCTTTATGGGTTGTACCAGTGGGAGACTTTGTACAAAAGTCGATTGCTTGGGTACCTCTGTCCTATTCGTGTTTCAACCGTGAAGCAGTTGTGTTTGCATGGCTGTGTTTCGCTTTGAAGGGTGGTATATGCCGTGAATTTACAGGGTACAGAGGAATAACACCTGAGTCCTCAGGAATGGCAACGCATGGGAGGTCTCGTGGGCGAAACAGTATACTCTGTTATGTCCATGGTACTGCCCATGTCTATAGGCGACGGTTACCACTTTCCATCAGGTGGGCCGTCAGCTTGTTTGCCATTCTAAGTTGTATAAAAAAAAAATAGTTACATCCCGCAATTTCACCTGTCTGCCAAGTTAAGATATAACCTACCATCATTATCATCATATCAGCCTTTAACTGTCCACTGCTGAACATAAGCCTCCTCCTTGGGGGTTTTGCCAGTAGTTGCCACAATTGGCAAGCGGATCGGCAACTGCAGTTAGGCTTTAGACATGTTTTAAGAGGGACGCTGCTGCTCATCCATCGCCCTCCCTTAGTCGCGTCTTACGACACCCACGGTAAAGAAAGAGGTAGCCTATTCTATTCAACAAACAAACTCACGTTCACATTTCTAATATTAGTAATGATAGACAAGTTAACAGCGCCTCTAGCGGACAGTTTCGGAAATTCATTCCATACAAGACAACTATATTTTTCTAGAGTTCACAGTGGCAACTCTAAGGCCAACAAGTTGGTCGGATCAGTTGTCCAACTGGTACGTACTAGGAATCCTTCCGTAGCAAGTTTGTTTCGCTCGATAACAAAGTGTGGGACACAAGGTTTGTATAAATCTCCTGGTTGTTCAGTACTTTTTGTGCACGCCAGTGAATGTAGCCAAGTTGCCATAAAACAGCGTGAAGTCTGTGATCGCTGTTTACAACATATACGAGTATTTACTTGATTTAGTTGCACATAAAAAAATAACTTTTTATTTTTATTTAATTATAATGTAACAAAACAATTACATGCTGTAGAAATAACACTGACTTAATTACCCCTTGTAAAGTTTTACGTTTAAATTTTCATAAAATTTTTCGCTTTTGTATTCGACTGTATTTTTGCATAAATGTTAAAGATAATATTTTTAAATTTGTTTTTATTTTATATTCTAAAATCTGGATTGCTTTGTAACTGAGGTTTTATAGGTTGGAATGGTAATTTATGCCTTCTTTGTTTAAATAAGAAAGTGAATTTATTACTTCTTGTCATTATAAAGCCAGCTCAACCAATTGCCAGAAAATTTACATTTTATAAAAGAAACAAACAAATTGTAGTCTATTAGTTAGTGTGGTATCTTTGCATATTTCTCTATAGCTTTTAATAAATTAATTTAACGTGGTAGGGAGAAAGAGAGAGGATGAAAACTATTATTTCAAGTTCCCTAGGGCACATTAATTAATTTTATGAATACGCTAGTTGGACTTGGAGTTATTATTACCCGATGTTATATATAAAACTGTGGGTAGTTTTGTGTGTATTGTACTCCCGTGGGACGTGGACATGACTGTGTTTCGGTTTGAAGGGTGGGATATGGCGTGAATTTACTGGGTACAGAGGAATAACACCTGAATCCTCAGGAATGGCAACGCCATGTACCATGGGCGAAACAGTATACTCTGTTATGTCCATGGTACTGCTCATGTCTATAGGCGACGGTTACCACTTTCCATCAGGTGGGCCGTCAGCTTGTTTGCCATTCTAAGTAGTATGAAAAAAAATTGTGGGCTACTACTGCCGTGCCCGCGCGCACGTCTCTAAAAATTACATTCGCACACAACTTTTGGTATGAAATATACGTGAAAACTATAACGTTTAGAGTTTTACAGTATATTATATATATAAGACATATATATATATTTAAAATTAGTTTATTTGTGTGATATAATTATATATATATAGCCACTAATTCATGTTGTTGTAGTACTTATTATTAATTTATTACTTATATATAAATAAAATTATTATAACCATTCTATTTAAGAGACTGATTGAATAAGCGATTGATGATTAAATTATTAATGATCGATTTCATCGATAAATAAATAAGATTAAGTAATCAATTGATCGACTAATAAGTGATTGAAATAAATGATTAAATAATTAAATTAATAAGACATTGATTGATCGATTGATTGAAAACCTATCAAAAACTTACCAAAGACTGTATAATGTCGTCGGGTACGTTCCTTTTGTGCGCACAAAGGCTGTAGACAGAGGAGTGACTGAAGACGACCGGGGCCTTCGAGATCTTGATAGCAGCTCTGGTGGTGTTCTCGCTGACGTGCGAGAGGTCCACCAACATGCCGAGACGGTTCATCTCCTTCACCACTTTCTGTTGACAAAACAATGAACATAATCCAATGTTGTATTAAGAACTTGCCATACTGTTGCGGTGTATTCTATGCTGGGACCACACGGCAATATATTATAATACATATATAATAAAATAATAATTTATAATAATAGCGCGTAATACCCCTGGTATTGTTGGTGTTCATAGGTATGCTTGTTTGCTACCTCAGTGGTATAAAAAAAATCAATTAAACATATTTAATGGAATATGTTGCATGTTACATGTATGTTTTCTGGATTAAAAACAAAAAAATTAAGTTAGTTTTTTTTCTTTAAAGATTTAAATATTTTGTCTATGACTTTAGTAAAAAATAATTGATTCAATGTGATGAAAAGGAATCATTGGATATATATATAGGAATTTGTTCGAATACGTATTATTTCATGATCTGATATCTAGGTACTGTTTATTTATTTATGTTACCAATTAAAAAATAATAATACAGTAAATATTCATGAGAAGTGATACAAAAGGCTGCCTTATTGCTAGGCAATTTCTTCCAGACAACCTTTATTTATCACCTATTTCATCTTATTTGTTATTTCATTGTATTAATTATGTGGATTTTTTATTTTTAATAAAACAAGCTGACGACATTCGGTTATAAAATGGTAACCAATATAATAAATAATCTTTATTTACTACTCACAAGGAATATTTTACATTGTATGACTATTTAGTATTTTAACTTGAAATTATTATCCTTGTGAGAGTCTGAAGTCTGAACTAGGTCGAAACCTGTAGGTACTACAGATCTCCAGGCTCTCTCCGGAGTTTTACAATATATTACTGAACATCTATATTATTATATCAATACAAGTATTGTGAGGTAAGTATTCTTGGTATTTTTTGTATTTTAAAGACGAATGTATGAAGAATGTGTTTTGAGTGTAATGTTTGTGTGTATATGTGTGTGTATGTGTGTGTTTGTGTGCGTGTGCGTGTGCGTGTGCGTGTGCTAGCAATATATCCTGTTAGGTCGACATCCACGTGGAAATCATCATGCTGAATCCCAGGTGTATTTATCACGATGGGCTTACTGACCTGCCTTTCCATTCTCACCTGTCATCCTTCACTGGCACATCGCCGATGTATACCGCCAGCGCGGGGGTGTTACCATTCCATTATCACCCATTAAAGAAAAAAAGTATAAAATGAAATTTAAAATAGCATCATCTCCGGTTATGGTGTCTGACGTGTTTAACCATAACATTCTTTGTTAGTGTCATTTAATGTAGAGATGCCATCATAAAGTCATTACGTAAACTTCCTTAAAAGTAATATCAAAAACTCATTATAAGCAGGATTTTAAACCTAGTTCCACAACATTCGCCATTAAGCGATCGGGCGGGCTCATTACCCTGGCCCAACGGTCACCGGGCGATTTAATATCATGCTAACGAGATTCAAGAGTGACGCCCAGGGTATTTATTTCAATTTCAGCACGCCAGGGGACTGAAAAATGTTATTAGCTACGCAGTATAATACAGCTATGTACTGACAATGTTTTAATTGGCAATTTGCGTAGTGTACAGGCCTCGTAGTGTATTAGGGTTTCGTAATTGAATAGGGCAAAACGATACCCTGGCTGTTAAAAACTGCCTTTTACTTGCGACTTCGTTCACATACGATCGTGATAATTAGTACACGCTTTTTTCATTCCATTATCATCCATAAAAAAAAATACTTTGATATAAATTTTTTATATGCATCATTGATAATGGATACTGAATGGCGGCCATATTGGTAAACAACAAATATGAAGATGATTGATTTTTTTTATTGTTATTTTTAGCCAATTGTGTATTAACAATAAATGTAGTTGGTTTTTCTTTCTTGCTATTTTTATATTAGTATTTGATGATAAAAATAATAAATATCAGTCAATCTTCTTATCAATATAGGTACTGTATAGTGTTTTTTTTTTGGCAAATGGGTGAGCCATTAATGGTGTGTGTTTATGTGCTGCAACATTTGTATGGCGGAGCACCAGTGGATTGTTGATAGATGAGAATGAAAACAGACCGACCTCCACGCGGTTAGCCCATTATGATGAATTTATCGTTGAATTAACATGATAGCCTTTTCATCCTCACCTATCATCCCTCACTGGTGCCTCGCCAGTGTACACCGATATCGACCGACCGATCGGTCGACCTGGTTGGGTATATTGCTAGCAGTAGGATTCTCAGTCTCCATTACTAACAATCCCTTTCCCCCACTAGTATAGTATTATATTATGTGTGATATAGGTATCAAATTAAACAAATTTGATAACTACATAGTGAAGGGGGGAGGGATTGTTAATAATGGAGACTAAGGACCCCATTGCTAGCAATATACCCTAACAGGTCGACCTCCACGTGGTCCCCCCTGGAAACCATCGTGCTGAATTTCAAGTATATTCAACACGATGGGCTAATTGGCCTGTCTTTTCATTCTCACCAATCATCGGTAGATAGCGCGGACGGGGTTACTGTTCCATCATTACCCATTAAAAAGAAACTTACATAGCGATTTATTAAAGCTTACAGGAATCAAATTGGTATCAACTTTCTAGAGCGTAGGAGTTTTAAAAACTCCGTCGTACGCGAATTAAGATGGGATGCGCTTTTCATTATCTGCCTATGTAAATGTACCGCCACTTAATATTACAAGCTTAGCGTGAGAGGCTTTTTAAACTCGACGGGTATAAAGCATATATGATATGAGATATCTGACAAACAAACAAGCTGACGGCCCACCTGATGGAAAGTGGTAAATGTCGCCAAAAATTTTTACTTCACGTACTAATATATAGATTTCTACCGTGAAGCAGTTGTGTTTGCATGGCTGTGTTTCGGTTTGAAGGGTGGGATATGGCGTGAATTTACTGGGTACAGAGGAATAACACCTGAGTCCTCAGGAATGGCAACGCATGGGGTATGGTAACGCAAGCAGTATACTCTGTTATGTCCATGGTACTGCTCATGTCTATAGACGACGGTTACCACTTTCCATGTGGTGGGCCGTCAGTTTGTTTGCCATTCTAAGTTGTATAGAAAAAAATACATAATACATAAATGTCATGCCAGTAATACGCCTCACGCGGTGCCGTTCTCGTACATTCCACTGGTCATTTCACTGGCATATTCCACCCCTCTAATCGAAATACTGGCGTGCAAATGCAGCTATTTGCATAGCCGAAACATGAGTGTAATGCTCGTTGGCCTTGTTTTGGGAAATAACTCTACAGCATTTACAACACATAAGGAAGTACCCGTAAAATTATTTCCGTAATGGATTCTGTAGCGTGGATAGGTTTTTGAATTTTCCTACATAGGTATGTTATTTTTTTTTCAATCCTCGCGATGGTAACGGTATTCAATGCTATTGAAAATAATATAATATTTGGCTGTAATATTTTTTATATATCTAATTAATTACTCCACGGGACAGATAAAGGAAACACTAGGTGTCATGTCGTATAGGGAGGTCAAAGATATGGCCTGGCATAGAGCTGGCTGGAAGAGAATGCATGAATAAGTTGCACCGACAAGAGGGAACTCTTAAATGAAAGAAAGCATTCAGAATCATAACCCTCCTATTTGCTTTACCGTAACCGGAGAAAAAGGAGTTTACTTTGGTGAATATATATACTTACATTAAAGTGCATTTTCTTTATATTACAATAATTACACTCGTTCTAAACATAATCGCAATAGTGCCGGAGCGACTTTAAAACAAAGCAAAATCGAGAGCTATTTAACATTTTGCCAAGCCGAAATAATGTATTCGTATATATGTTTTGTATAAAAGAGGAAGACCGAGTATTAACTACATGGGACAGATAAAGGAAACACTAGGCGTCATGTCGTATAGGGAGATAAAGGATATGGCCTGGGATAGAGCTGGCTGGAGGAAGATGCATGAATTAGTTGCACCGACAAGAGGAAACTCTTAAATGAAAAGAAGATATATGTTTTGTACGTCCGAACATATCTGAACTGCCAAACTGTTGGCGGCTGAATTAAGTTGTCCTATATTTACATAATCGAATATGTTGAACCAATAAAACTACAGTGTACTCGTAGTACCCACATCCTAAACCAGTGATTCTCAATCTTTTTTTTTTGCTGCGGCACATATTTAACGATTTAAAAATTTGGCGGCACACAAAGAAAAAGATAAAAATTATTTACCTACTACAACACACTGCATAAATAGTTTATGACAAAAATTTTAAATATTTTTGAAAAATTTGGCGGCACACTTTTAAAATTTGGCGGCACACTTTTAAAATTTGGCGGCACACGAAAGTGCCGCGGCACAGTGGTTGAGAATCACTGTCCTAGAAGATAGCAAGTAAATTATGTGTATAATCTAAATAATACATTTGGTTCTAGATCATTCTGTTGATTTATTGATTTATTTATTTATTTATTTAACTCTTTATTGCACCATAAATAAAAATATACAATGACAAGTGAACAATTCATGTGAAATACAGTAACATAAATACAGATTGAAATATACACATAAAGGTACAAAAGGCGGTGTTATCGCTAGGGCAATCTCTTACAGACAACCTTTGGTTAAAGGAGAACAGATAGAAGTGGGCAGGTGGCGTAGGAGTGAATTAATAATTTTTCGTGCATAAAATACAAAAACCTGTAATGTACAAAAAGTAAAAAAAAAATTCGTAGTTCAATTTACAGTGTTGTTAAAATTTATGTTTAGTTTTACTTGTGTTATAAACTAGTGGAAGGAATTTATGAGCATTGCATGCATGCATGCATGCATGTAAACATAATTTTAGTCAAATATTTGTACAAATATTACTTCGTACTTATAATTTTTTTTAATAATTGGTACTTTATTTTCTTACTTGGCGTATTTAGCAAATTGTTTGAAAGATTTTGATTGTAAACATTTATTGATTATTAATAAGAATGACCATGTAGTCCCGGTTTAGAATGGACCACCCCTTCCTTTCCCGTGGGCGTCGTAAGAGGCGACTAAGAGAGGGTGAGAGTGAAATAAATAAATTGCTATTATTTTAAATTAATAAAAAAACATGTTTATAGATTATTAGGTACTTTTCTTTTGTTCGTACTTGATTAATTTTGCTAATGAGACATCAATCAAACAAACATTGATTGATGGATTTGTTTAGAGAGAAAAAAATGCCTATTTTACGAAAGAAAAAAGTTATGTTAATTCTTTTATTTTTCTTTTTTTTTTTGTATATCAATCTTTAATTGTCCACTGCTAAATATAAGCCTCCCCCTTGGAGGGTTTCGCCAGTAGTTGCCACGCTTGGCTTTTTGTATATGTTTTTTTTTATACAACTTAGAATGGCAAACAAGCTGACGGCCCACCTAATGGAAAGTGGTAACCGTCCTATAGACAGCCTATAGACATGAGCAGTACCATGGACATAACAGAGTACTGTTTACTGTTTCGCCCATGATACAGCCCCAATGCGTTGCCATTCCTAAGGACTCAACTTTTGTGTTATCATTTAATAAAAAGAAAAATATCTGTACCCTGTGATGCACACCTAATAAATTCACGCCATATCCCACCCTTCAAAACAATTTACAATATTGCAACAAACATAAAAAGTGTATGCATTTTTTTGTGTGATTACACAACTGTCCTTTACGGTTGTAACATAGTATGTAGTAAAAAAAAAACATAGAAATAGTCGAGTTTCTTGCTAGTTTTACTTAGCTGAAATTGCATCCCAAATGGTGGGTAGAATTATAAAAAAAAAATGACTATTTAAAAGTGCTTGTTGAATAAGTTTATTTGAACAATAATTATTCTTATTTTTTTTTATTATAACAATGTACATATGATACTATCTTGTCTTTAGAGTTATATTGTTTTTGGAATTAGAAATGTACGAGTATATAAGTAGAGGTCGCTTTTAGCGATAAGGTCGCCCATTGTTTTCTCATTGTGATTATTTCTTGTAATTGTTTATATTTATAATAAGTTTACTATTGTAATCTTTTGGAGGAGACAACAATCTATCTATCTATCCATAAAATGCCATAGATGGTACGATGGACAACTTGTTTGTAAAATGTGCTGGTTCTTCTATATACATAATATATATGTTATTATTTATTAATTATATTATTTGTAAGTAAAAATGCCGTCTGTTGACTTGATGTATTATATTTTGTTTTTTTTTCAATTGTTTATAAATATTCTTTTTAAAAAAAAAAACTATAATTGTCAGTATATGTAAAAAAGGTTAATTTTGAACACAACTGTTACTGTTTTTCTTCAGACAGACTGTCCCCAGTAGCATACAACATGACGCCCCGAAAGTGGGACTAATTAAAAAAATAACATGCTAAATAAACCTTAAAAATTTATGAATCCCACTTAATAACCCAAGTTCCACGCCGCCGCAGAGAAAGTACGCGCCGTGCGGCACTAATTAGAAGCAACACCATTTATCAACTATGAAAACTCACAGGGCAATAACCTAAAATACTATTTGATGAAATTCCCGCCGAAATGGCCCGTTTTATCGTATAGACATCTACGCTCTCTGTATTAACGACATCAACGTTTCCTTTTCATCAAATCAAATGGAGCCGAACAAGCGTGTGCTTAGACGGCGTACGTATAAAAATCACAATCGCTTGGCAAACGGCAAAAGAATTCGCCAAGTGCAAAATAACTCAAATAACATTGGTAACAAAGTTTAAAATCGCTCGCTTACCTCTCCAAACTCCGTTAGTCCGTTAGTGACCGGTGGTTCGTTGGACGAATCGGCCCTACGGAACAAAATACAACAGTACAAATAAATGATACGAAAGAAAGAACAAAATGTAAGAAGACAAAGCATGCGTTCGCTTCTCTTTGTTCGCTTCGCTTGGATCACTGCAGCGGACAATAGGGGATGATCAGGGGAATGTCCTCAGTCCCCTGCCAACGTTCGGACACTCGCAATTAATATAAGTCAGTGTATGTTGTGATCACAGCTCGGTGCCAGGGAAAAATCAAAGTGTATTTGAGAATAAAGGAGTTTCTTCTAGTATTTATCTCTTTTATATTTAACTACGTATATTACTGATAAGCACTAGAAGGAACTTTTTTTTGTACACAGGTTTTGTCTACACAGAATAAACTAAATCGTTGATAATATTCTTTACTCTGAGGGCCTACCATGAAATGTTTTCCGAAATTTCGGATGCGAACGATACAAAAATTTGTTGTTAAAATTACTTGACACATACCGTTTAAAAATATTAAAAATGCTAAAGTATCGTTCCTTTTTACTTTTATGGTAGGATTTGTGACAAATGAAATGTTAAGCTCCATTTATAGGGTCGATTTTGGTACGAACAAAAACACGAAATTGAGCCCGAAAATTCGGAATTTCATTTCATGGTAGACCCACTGAAACTTTTACGAAGAACAGTGGAACTGATTTTAAGTTGTCATTTCTCTAAAACTAACCTCTTAATTGTTCTAATTTGATAATTTCACCAAATTAATAATTATTTTATGGAGCATAATAAATTAAAATTATAATATATTTTAACTAAAATCTATTTTAAAACTAGTTCAAATTACTATAAAGATTTCACTTTGATATTCGACTGATATTTAAATTTTGGAAATAGGTTCAGAGATATGGCGTCTCAGAATCGGTCCCGTTTGTCGCACGATGGTAATAATGTTAGCACATTTCATACAAAAGTGTGAAGTTGCATTGGTGTTAAGTACGGTATGATAAAAAATAAATTCATATTTTGACACATCTAGAATAGAATTTGGTCCCCTCTGTCTACCTCGTAAGAGACTTGGCTTGATGATGAATGGTCGGAATTCGACCATAGTTAATTTAAATAAATAAGTCTGAAAATTATTAAGGTTCTATTGTCAAAGACTATATATATATATATATATATATATATATATATATATATATATATATATATATATATATATATATATATATATATATATATATATATATATATATATATATATACGTGACATCTCCCATTAGGGTAAGTCATAAACAATGGAATATTAAAATGCTTAGATACATACATATCTTTCACTTCTGTCTCCCATTCAGGGTAGGCAGAAACAGTGGATCGCCAAATGCTTCGATTCAAACAAACCTCTTTCGCTTCCTCAACATTCATCAATATATTAAAAATAAACAATATTAATCTATTCTCAATTTGACCACAGACTTTAACAATAAATAAAAGAGTATATATATATATATGCGCGTGTGTGTTAAATATATGGTAGTGTGTGTAATATTTTTTTTTTATTGATTTAATGTACTTTTTTATGTATAATTTTAGAAAAATTTGCATTCTGCCCTCCTTCTCTATTTAAACTATAAGTGTGCCAAATTTCATACTCCTCCGTCCGCGCAATTTTCGTAAAAAGGGTTTTTTTTTTGATGGGTGAAAATGGTATGGTAACCCCGCCTGCGCTAACGGGATACGCTGGTGGAACACCAGTGAAGGGTGACAGATGAGAATGAAAACAGGCCAGTTAGCCCATCATGATGAATTCATCAGGAATTGACCATGATAGTTTCCAGAGGGAACCGCGAGGAGGTCGACCTGGTTGGGTATATTACTAACAATGGGATTCTCAGTCTCCATTACTAACAATCCCTTTCCCCCATCGTAAAAAGGGTTACAAAGTTTTTGCTTCACGTATTAATATATGCATAGATATGATATATATTACTAATACTACATGTATGTATATTTGTATAATAAGTTTCAATATTTACAGGCTTACAGTGTTACAGAATAAGAATAGAGGAGGGGGGATTGTTATTAATGAAGTTAAACTGCCTCATTACTAGCAATATACCCAAACGGTCGCCTTCCCCCTGGAAACCATTGTGTTTGTATCCATTCCAAAGAAATGGTCACGATGGTTTAACTGACCTGCCTTTTCAACCTCACCAATCCTCCCTCACTGGTGACCTGCCAGTGTATACCGATAGCGTGGGCAGGGTTACCATTTCATTATATATTTGATATTTTTGTGTATTATAGGCTTTTGTATTTTATGCACGAAAAAATATTCATTCACTCTTGCGCCACCTGCCCTTTTCTATCTATTCTCCTTTAACTAAAGGTTGTCTGTAAGAGATCGCCCTAGCGATAAGACCGCCTTTTGTACCTTTATGTGTATATTTCAATCTGTATTTCATTTGAATTATTCACTTGTCAATGTATCTTTTTGTTTATGGTGCAATAAAGAGTTAAATAAATAAATAAATAAATTATCATCCAATAAAAAACAAGTATATGAATAGACAAATTTGTACAATGTAAAATGTACCTTATTGTAGTAAATAAATGAATTCTAATTGTTTCGGAGAATGTAATATTTTTTTGAGCTGCTCAAAACTTGGTTGCGAGTCAATGTTACGAGTATTTATATAATGTTTCCGACAAGTTTTGGTGGCGGCCGTACGTGGGCCGACTGGGAATGGAGGCAACGTGAGGTCTATTCCCGCGTATGTTTCATATGGGCATACAATATAAACAGTTCGTTCACCCTTTGTAGATTTTATATTGAAAGATGGCTCGAGTTATATTTTATTTGAATAGAATACTATTCAAAGATTGATTATGGAACTCTGGTTGTTTGTGGGATATTTTATGATATGTCTTAATGTGTTTTCCTTTACAGTTTTTGTTTTTAAGGTGCTAAAATTAGGTACATTGGTTACTACTTATTATTATTGCTCCCTGCTGGTGGCAAAAGTTTTTAGGCCGCATGTTTGGCGTATAGGGAACTCAATATTAGAGGGATGGGCAGCAACGTTCCTCTTAAAACACTATTAAATACTAACTGTGGTTACCAACTTGTTAAGCGTGGCAACTACTGGCAAATCTCCCCTTTGTCGGGGGATTTATACCTACATGTATTATTTGGGCTGGAGAAGAACATAGGCCAAGAAAAGTAAGAGACCTATGTTTATCTCCAATATGTTGATTGATACATCATGATAAATCAACATATCCCGGTCACACAGACGAAGTCGCGGGTGAAAGCTAGTTTGAAATAAAAACAAAAACCCAATAGTCGTATGTTTGCATAAGCAAATTAATACCAAAAATGCTATAAGCATTTTAATACCAAAATTGAATCCCATATTCAAATTAGATATATAGGGCCATGACCCCAAAGTGAAAGGCGTGTAGAAGCGATAAGGTTCCAGCGACCCGAGATTATCCTTTTAGGATCCTAGGGACCCCAGGAAACCATCGTAAAGGGATCATGTGTTGTTTGAGCGTCTCGTCGCCTCGATGTTATATGGCAGCCATCTTGTTAGATAATCTGTATCACTGAAGTCATATTGCCATAGATAAAATAGGACATTTTATGGCATGCGGTTGGATTTTTGCAGGGAAATATAAGTTAGTGTATTTGGCAGTTTTCTTTTTTATTTTAAACGCGTATAATAGGTAGATATGAGTCTACACTATGACCCTAATTAGGGGAATGACAATGCATGAGCGTCACAGTGAACTGTGTAAGCCATGGTGCTATGGTTGTTTCTAGCCGACGGTTATCTCTTTCCATCAAGCTTGTATGCCATTTCAAGTAGGTATCGTAAAAAATACATTACGTATCAGTTATTTTTTTACGCTTAGTACCTCGTAACTTCGTTAGTTCTAAACCGATTTAGATTTTTTTTATGCGGAAAGATATACGAGTACTTACAGATTGGTATAGTGGTTTAATTTTTTGGTTTAGTCACAATACAAGTAAATATATTTTTATTTATTTATTTATTCATTAGTACAAATGTGTGTGCACGGCGGACTTAATGCTAAAAGCATTCTCTCCCAGTCAACCACAAGGAAGTGTCAGAATACTCGAATGTGGTACTACTAATTATTGATATACATACATACTAAAATTATATATATAAACGAATAAATATATATGAATAACAAATATACATACACATATATGATATATACTATATTATACACGAAATTGAGAATAATATAAAGCACTTACTGTTTTGTAAAGCACTATTTTGTGGGCTACAATCTTTAATTATTTTTTTGTTATTTGATATTGTAAATCGATATTTATGAAAATATGCAGTAAGGTAGTTTTTACAATATGGAACCAATCTGTAAGTATATCCTTTCAGATAAAAAAAAAAAAAAAAAAACTCCAAAAGCAGTTTACAGCTAACACAGTTACGAGGTAACAAACATAAAAAAGAAATAAAACCAAATCGAGAATCTCTTTTTTGAAGTCGGTCGAAAAAAATACCAAGATATCCTTATGACAAAATAAATTTCTCCGTCTAGTTGGCACGAGTACGCTAAAACAATTCCAAATGCTTGTATGTCAGCGGTGATATATGTGCGGGCTACAAGTGATGGAATAAAAACTTGATAAATTAGTTCAGTGGAGCGGGCATGATAAGAAGAGGGCATAGTTATTACATAAAGAGACAGCTCTATTCAGATAACACGGACGAAATAATAGCGGCCCCTGTGTTTGACTACAATAATAATGACTCGAAGTGTTTCTTCACATTTACATTTATAGATAGATACTCTTTATTGTTTCCTCCAAAAGATTATAACAGTAAACTTATTATAAATATAAATAATTACAATAAATTACAATAAATTTTACCCTCCCAAAATTAATTGTATGATTTTTTGTTATACAAATATGTGCATTTTGTGTTCATTTTATGAATATAATTAATAAGTTACATCATGTAATGTAAGTTTTTATGTTGTGTAGA